TGCAAATAAAACAACATGATACATCACATTAATAGAAGAAAGGATAACAACCATGTGATCCTGTCAATAGATGCAGAAAAAGCATTTGACAAAATACAGCATCCTTTCTTAATAAAAACCCTCAAGAAAGTCAGGATATAAGGAACATACCTTCACATCATAAAAGCCATATATGAAAAGCCCACACCTAATATCATCCTCAATGAGGAGAAACTGAGAGCTTTCCCCTTGAGATCAGGAACACGATAGAGATGTCCACTCTCACCACTGCTGTTTAACATAGTGTTTGAAGTCCTGGCCTCAGCAATCAGACAACAAAATGAAATAAAAGGCATCTAAATTGGCAAAGAAGTCAAACTTTGACTTTTTGCAGATGACATGATACTCTATGTGGAAAACCTGGAAGACTCCACCAAAAAGCTGCTAGAACTGATACATGAATTTAGCAAAGCTGCAGGATATAGAATCAATGTACAGAAATCTGTTGCATTTCTAAACGCCAATAATGAAGCAACAACAGAAAGAGATATCATGGGATCAATCCCATTTACAACTGTACCAAAAACCATAAAATACCTAGGAATAAAGCTAACCAAATAGGTAAAAGATCTGTATGCTCAAAACTATAGAAAGCTTGTAAAAGAAACTGAAGAAGATACAAAGAAATGGAAAAACATTCCATGTTCATGGATGAGAAGAACAAACATCATTAAAATTTTTGATACTATCCAAAGCAATCTATACATTTGGTGCAATCCTAATCAAAATAGCACCAGTATTTTTCACAGAAATAGAACAAACAATCCTAAAATTTGCATGTAACCACAAAAGACACTGAAAAGCCAAAGTAATGTGGAAAATGAAAACCCAAGATGGAGGAATCATAATCTTGGACTTTAACCTGTATTACAAAGCTGTAATCATCAAGATAGTATGGTACTGGCACAAAAACAGACACATAAGACCAATGGAATAGAATATAGAATCAGAACTGGACCCACAAATATATGGCCAACTAATCTTCAATCAAGAAGGAAATAGTATCCAATGGAAAAAAAAGACAATCTCTTCAGCAAATGGTGCTGGGAGACCTAGACAGCAACATGCAGAAGAATGAAACTGTACCACTTTCTCACACCATACACAAAAATAAATTCAAAATAGATGAAAAACCTAAATGTGAGACAGGAAACCACCAAAATCCTATAAGAAAAAACAGGCAGAAAACTCTATGACCTCAGTGGCAGCAACTTCTTACTAGACAAATCTCCAGAGGCAAGGAAAATAAAAGCAAAAATGAACTATTGGGACCTCATCAAGATAAAAAGCTCTGTACAGTGAAGGAAACAATCAACAAAACCAATGGCATGGGAGAAGATATTTACAAATGACATATCGGATAAAGGGTTAGTATCAGAAATCTATAAAGAATTTACCAAACTCAACACACAAAAAGCAAATAACCCTGTGAAGAAATGGGTGGAAGACATGAATAGACACTTTCCCAAAGAAGACATCCAGATGGTAAACAAAAAATGAAAAGATGCTCAACATTGCTCATCATTAGGGAAATATAAATCAAAACCACAATGAGATACCACCTCACACCTGTCAGAATGTCCACAATAACAACTCAGGAAACATCAGATGTTGGTGAGGATGTGGAGAAAGGGGAGCCCTCTTGCACTATTGGTGGAAATGAAAACTGGTGCGGCGATTCTAGAAAACAGTGTGGATGTTCCTCAAAAAATTAAAAATAGAATTACCTTATGACCCAGCAATAGCACTACTAGAAATTTATCCAAAGGATTCAGGAGTGCTGATTTGAAGGGGCACATATACTCCAATGTTTATAGCAGCACTATCAACAATAGCCAAATCATGGAAAGTGCCCAAATGTCCATCTATGATGAATGGATAAAGAAGATGTGGTATATATACATAATGGAATACTACTCAGCGATGAAAAAGAATGAAATCTCGCCACTTGCAACAACGTGGATGGAACTGAAGGGCATTATGGTAAGAGAAGTCAGTCAGAGAAAGACAGATATAATATGATTTCACTCATATGTGGAATTTGAGAAATGTAACAGATGACCGTAGGGGAAGGGAAGGAAAAGTAAGATAAACACAGAGAGGGAGGTAAATCATAAGAGACTCTTAAATACAGGGAATTGATGGTTGATGGGGATGGGGGGTTGGGGTGGGGAAAATGGGTGATGGGCATTGAGGAACTTGTTGGGTGAGCACTGGGTGTTTGTTGTATGTAAGTGATGAATCACACGAATCTACTGAAAGCCAAGACTACAATGTATGTCAGCTAACTTAACAATAAATTTAAGAAATAAAAATAAAAATACAATAATCAATAAAAAAGAATTCTACAAGTGAAAAATTTAATTTTTGTTTCAAATAAATAATCTTTACCTTTTAAAAAAAAGAAATACTAATTGAGCACCTATACTTTATGCCAGTTGCTGCTTTTTAATGCATCAATATGGTATATTAGAAAGGTGATATGTACTATGGTGAAAAATAAAGCAGGGATGGCAGATAGGGAGTACAGAGCATGTGGGTATGCTGTTGATGCACTTTTAAGTAGGATGATCAGGAAAGACATCAAAAAAAAAATGACATCAGAATAAAGAACTGAAAGGAGAGTGGGCATTGAGGATATCTACAAGATGGAGGAAAAACATTCAGACTGGCACATGAAATGGATTTTAGACAAAAATGTACTTGGTGTGTTTGGGAAATAACAAGGAAGCCAAGTCCCTAAGTAGAGTAATAAGCAGTAATAGAAGATAAGTTCAGAAAAAGGGGGTGAGGCAGATCCAGTAGAAGATAAGGTCAGAAAAATGGGGTGAGGCAGATCCCATAGGGTATTATAGGCCATTGCAAGGAATTTGGCTTTTAATTTGAATCAGATGTGGAGCAACGGGAAGGTTTTGAGCATAAGAATGACATGATCTGACCTGTTTTAATAGGATCACTCTGGGGGCGCCTGGGTGGCTCAGTCGGTTGGGCGGCCGACTTCGGCTCAGGTCACGATCTCACACTCCATGAGTTCGAGCCCCGCGTCGGGCTCTGTGCTGACAGCTCAGAGCCTGGAGCCTGTTTCAGATTCTGTGTCTCCCTCTCTCTGACCCTCCCCCGTTCATGCTCTGTCTCTCTGTCTCAAAAATAAATAAACGTTAAAAAAATAGGATCACTCTGCTATGTCAAGAGCAGACTGTAGATATTACTAAATTGCTTTCCAAAGTGGTTATGCCAATTTAAATTGTAACTACTCATTAGCATCGTATGAGAATTTGGGCAACTAAGTGTGTTCCATCATATCTCTATTTCTTTTGTAAGTTTTGGTTGAGTTTTTATGAAGAATGTTTTGTATATATTTGAATGTCCCCAGTACCTAGCACAGTACCTGAAGCAGGTGAAGGTGCTTAGCAAATGTTGGGTGAATGAATCTCAAGATTTTTTAGAGCTAAAAGGCATTTATATATCATCATATCCAACCCCTACATTTTATAGCTAAGGAAACTGAAGCCCAAGGTACTGAGTATCTATCTTAAGGTCCCAAAGTTAATTAGTGGTAGAATAGGGATCAGAAATCCAAGTGTCCTGACTTCCAAGTCATTTTTCCAATTCACTTGTGTTTCCTAAACTTGACTGATCATAAACTCATCTGCAGATCAACTCAAGGAACTTGAATAAGAATCAGAAACTCTAGGACAGTGCTTCCAAAACTTGGTGCATAAAAATCACTGAGAATCTTGTTAAACTAATTCTGATTCAATACATCTGTGGATAGGGTCTGAAGTTCTACATTCCTAAAGAGGTCCCAGATGATACAGATGTTCCTAATTCTTGAACCACACTTGGGGGAACAAGGCTTTAGACATATAAAATGTCTAAATATATACTCACTATAACATATACACACGAATTCTTTTTTTTTTTAACTCTAAAACCTAAATATAGGCATGTTCTCTTATTATTTACCTCTGTGAAAAGAGTTATATAGAATAAAATTTTGATGGATGGTTGTTGATTTCTTCCTAATATGTCTTGTAAATTTACAAGATTTAATTTTTTTTTTATGTTTACTTATTTTTGACAGACAGAGCATGAGCGCGGGAGGGGCAGAGAGAGACGGAGATACAAATCTGAAGCAGGCTCCAGGCTCCGAGCTGTATGCACAGAGCCCGATGCGGGACTTGAACTCATGGACCTCGAGATCATGACCTAAGCCAAAGTCGAATGCTTAACTGACTGAGCCACCCAGGTGCCCCTAAATTTACTAGATTTTTAATATTGTTTCCATGTTAGCAAACGAAGTAATGGTAACAAGTTCTTTGTTCGTTTGATTGACTATGTGATAGGTGCTGGGATCAAAAAAAAAAGGGATAATGAAATAAATTTTCTATATGGATATTTAAATTTCACAAAACTTTGTTGCTTGCTCGTGTTACATGGAAACGAGTTTCAAATTTTAATTTTTTTGTAGCACATCTCTAAGTTGCAGGTTTTGAAAATATCCTGGCTTTATGACAAATAATTGATCTTGCAATTTATTATTTGGTCACCTGTGACTTGTGCATAAATAACACTCCAAAAAAGTACATAAGGAAGCAGAAGAGTATTTGCAATGAGATTAATTAGCTGAGGATTAGGATAATACCTAATACCCACTAGCCTCAATGAGCCTCTAATGCAATGCCTTCACCAAAAAATACCACTGGAAGCAAGGTAGAACCAAGTCCTATACTTTTGAGACAGCTGATCTAATATAATTCTTAGAATTTCAAAACAGGATAAGGGATGTCATCTCCCAACATGTCTTCAGGAATCTGGAGCAGAGCGTACTTTTCTTACTTACATTTTGGGGAGACACTATGTTTAGCGCACATTCTAGAGATGATTTAGGCTCAAAAGCCTTTATATTTTTATGTTGGGTTATTTTAAAAAGTTATCCGAAGTAGAGAAAGTCTTCTTACCTGGTGCTACTCATTGTGTCTTCCATTTGTTGTGTTTGAACATAAAGTGTTTCAAACTGGTGTTCAAATTTGTCCATCAGGGCAGAAATCTGTAAATAGAAATATGGTCATAAGAAAAACTTACACTGAAAAGATGCTATCTTAACATCAAATGATTTTTTTTTACCTTTTCAAGATTCATACTCCTCAGTGTACCATCAATAGACTTGACTACACCTGCCATAGACTTAGTTACCTATTGGGAGTGTAAAAAAAGATTGAGCATCCTATAAGTGGTATCAAAATTTATTCAGTCTTTTAAATATATTACTTACAGATCAACTTATGAAATTTGTCTACCCTTTCCTTAACAGTAAAAATACAATATGTATTTCTTGTCTGGCACTGACCATCTTTTATTGACTCTTCATTGGAAGACAATTAATTAGACCTTAGTTTTTAAAAGCCACTTTCAAAATCATTTTCCTCACTAACCGCTTTGACTATGTCTCTCCTGACCATGAAGGCCTTTATCAGCACGCTCTAATAGATGTAGCTATCTGACAACTCAAAATACATATTGAACGTAAATCAATAGTTCCTATTATTTACAAATATTAAGCCTTACCTTGCCCATTGTTACTGCAATTTGAACTCTGGCTGCCACAGCATCAACTCTAGCACTCATTCTCAAAAAATTAATTGCTTGGTTCCTCTGGAGGATTGCATCTTCAGCATGTATTCTTGCAACTTCTATATTGCCTCTCTGAATGGCCTGTTTTAAACAGAGCAAAATTAAATAGTGGCAAAGACAAAGAGCAAGAGTAAATATTGGCAAAGAAAGGGAGCAAAAGTACAGCCATTTTAAAAAGTTTCCCCAGGGGCGCCTGGGTGGCGCAGTCGGTTAAGCGTCCGACTTCAGTCAGGTCGCGATCTCGCGGTCCGTGAGTTCGAGCCCCGCGTCGGGCTCTGGGCTGATGGCTCGGAGCCTGGCGCCTGTTTCCGATTCTGTGTCTCCCTCTCTCTCTGCCCCTCCCCCGTTCATGCTCTGTCTCTCTCTGTCCCAAAATAAATAAAAAACATTGAAAAAAAATTAAAAAAATAAATACAAAAATAAAAAAAAATAAAAAGTTTCCCCAATTAACCTATTTTAACATTATTTAAGAGGTTTTATAATTATTTTTTAAGAAATAAAATAATTTATACTTTACTTTTTAAATTATAATTAGAAAACATGATTAATAGGTTAGGAAATTAGAATGAAGTTTAAAAATTTGCCCATAATTACATCATTGAGCCACCATTATTATAGCGTATAGTATTCCAAGTAAATAATATATTACAGTATAACTTTACTACAAAAGTACATGGGTATACTGTGTTTTTACCCAGTATTTTGAAAAATAAAAACAGCTTAATTCATTAAATACATAACTGCATCATCATTTCTGAATGCTGTGTTGTATGTACCATTAAACAGGGCTTTCCTATGCTCCTCATAATACATAAAATGATTTTAGATGTAACACACACATAAGTATCTTCATTTTAATTATGGATTCACACTTTTCTTGCTATAATAGCTTTGGCCAGGGCTAAAGTTAAATGTAAATTTATAGAAAAATATGAAATAGTCCACGTGGTCTTCCAATAGAGCAAAACAGAGAAGATACAGAAGTGACTGAAGTTTGAGAACACGGATCAGTTAATATCCATGATTGCTGGGTATTTACTTTGTTTCTAATTCTTCAATAATATAAACACCAATGTGATATGCTAGTATATGCAATCTCACACACTTTCCAAGTTTTTTTTTACTAGTTAACATCCATAACCACACAGCTACACATTTTTTTCTTGAAATGAGAACATGTAAGATCTACTCTCTTAAGAACTTTCAAATATACAATACAGTATTATTAACTATAGGCACCATGGTGTGCATTACATCTCTAGGACTTATTTTATAACCAAAATTTTGTACCTTTTCACCACCTTCCCCGTTTTGCCTACCCCCCTCCCAACATCCCACCTCTGGCAATCACCAATCTGTTCTCTGTATATATGAGCATTTTTTTTAAGATTCCACATAAACATAAGTGAGATTATATAGTATTTGCTTTTCTCTGACTTATTTCACTGCTAAGTTTTAATGACCTCAAAGTACATCCATGTTGTTGGAAATGGCAGGACTTCCTTCTTTGTGGCTGAATATGATTCCATTGTACATGCATTCTACATTTTCTTTTCCCATTCATCCATCAATGGGCACAGGTTGTTTTCATGTCTTGGCTATTGTAAATAATGCTGCAATGAACATTAGGGTAAAGATATCTTTTTGGCTTAGTGGTTTTATTTCCTTTGGATAAATACCCAGAAGTAGAATTCCTGGGTCATATGGCAGGGTTTTTTTTTTTTTTTTTAATTACTTGAGGAAACTCCATTTTGTTTTCAACAGTGGCTGCACCAATTTACATTTCTACCAACATTGTACAGGTTTCACTTTTCTCCACATCCTTTCCTACACCTGTTTTCTTCTTGTCTTTTTGTTAATAGTCATTCTAATAGGTGTGACTTGATAATTTACTGTGGTTTTTATTTGCATTTCCATGATGATGAGTGATGCTGAGAACCTTTTCATGTGTCTCTTGGACATCTGTATGTGTTCTTTGGGGAAAAAAAATGTCTATTTGGATCCTGTGCCCATTTTTTAATTTTTTTAATTTTTAATTTTTAAATTTTTTTAGACAGAGAGTACAAGCAGGGGAGAGGGACAAAGGGGGAGAGAGAGAGAGAGAGAGAGAGAGAGAGAGAGAGAGAGAGAGAGAGAGAATCTCAAGCAGGCACCATGCTCCTTGCAGAGCCCAACGCAGGGCTTGATCCCACAGTCCTGGGATCATGGTGTACTTTGAGGGCATTATGCCAAGTTAAATAAGTCAAGAAAGGTGCCCATCAACAATACATTACAAGGATAATACACTATGATCAAGTGGGATTTAGTCCAGGGATGCAACGATGGTTCAACACACAAATCAAATAATATGATACAACACATTAACCAAATGAAGTCTAAAAATCATAATATCTCAATAGACATGAAATTGGAATTTGACAGAATTCAGCATCCATTTATAACAATTCTCAACAAATTAGATACAGAAACACTATACCTCAATGTAATGAATGCCACATATGAAAAACCCACAGCTAACATCACCCTCAATGGTGAAAAGTTGAAAACTTTTCCTTTAAGTTCAGGAACAAGACAAGGATGCCCACTATCATCACTTCTATTCAACATACTGTGGCAAGTCCTACCCAGATCAATGAGGCAAGACAAAGAAATGAAAGGCATTGAAATCAGAAAGGAAGAAGTAAAACTGTCTCTATTTGCAGGTGGCATGATGTTACATAGAGAAAACCTTAAAGATGCCACCAAAAAACTGTTAGAATAAATGAATTCAGTAAATTTGCAGGATAAAAACCAACATACAAAAATTGTGTTTTCACATACTTCTAATGAACTATTAGGAAAAGAAATGAAGAAAACATTCCCATTTACAGTTGCATCAAAAATAATAAAATACCTAAGAATACATTTAACCAAGGAAGTTCAAGACCTGTATACGGACAGCTATAAGACTTTGTTAAATTGAAAGAGACACAAATTAAGGGAAAGATATTCTATGCTCATGGATTGGAATAATATTTTTAAATGTACATATGACCCAAAGCAATCTATATATTTGGTTCAATCCCTATCATAATTCCATTGGCATTTTAACCAGAACAAACAATCCTGAAATTCATATGAAAACACAAAAGACCCCAAATAGCCAGAGCAAACTTGAAAAAGAAGAACTAAGATGGAGACATCATGCTTCTTGACTTCAAACTATATCACCAAGCTGTAGTAATCAGAAATTTGGTACTGGTATAAAAACAGACATATAAATCAATGGAACAGAATAAGGAGATCCAGAAATAAATCCATGCACATATAGTAAATTCATTTATGACAAAGGACCCAAAAATATACAATGAGGAAAGGACAGTCTCTTTAATAAATAGTACTGGAAAAACTGGACATTCACATGCAAAAGAATGAGATTGGATTGCTGTCACACCATACACAACAAATGTCAAAACGGATTGAAGACTTGAACATAAGAAAGCATAGGCAATATGCTCCTTGACATTGGTCTCGGTATTAATTTTTTGGATTTGACACTAAAGCCAAAGGCAAGAAAAGCAAAAATAAATGAGTGTAACTACATCAAACTAAAAAGTTTTTCACAGCAAAGGAAACATTAACAAAATGAAAAGGCAACCTATAGAATGGGAGAAAATATTTGCAAATTGTGTATCTGGTAAGGTTTTAATATCCAAAATATATAAAGAACTCATGCAACTGAATAACAAACAGAAAAAATCTAATTTAAAAATGGGCACAGGATCCTTGGGGCACCTGAGTGGCTCAGTCAGTTGACCATTTTACTCTTGATTTCAGCTCAGGTCATGATCCAAGGGTTGTGGGATTGAGCCTCATGTTGGGCTCTGCGTGGAGTGTGGAGCCTGCTTAAGGTTCTCTCTCACTCTCCCTCTGACCCTCTCCCTTGTTTATGCTCTCTAAAATTAAAAAAAAATGTTTAATGTATTATGAAATGTGGTGTTTTAATATTTTGTTGAGGATTTTTGCATGTATGTTCATCAGGGAGATTGGCCTGTAATTTTATTTCTTATAGTTTCCTTGTCTGGTTTTGGTATCAGGGTAATGCTGGCTTTGTAAAATGAGTCTGAAGTGTTCCCGCTTCTTCTATTCTTTGGAAGAATTTGAGACGGATTGGGATTGTTTCTTAAATGTTTGGTATAATTCAGCAGTGAAAACAGTTGGTTCTGGACTTTGTTGTGAATTTGCATATTTTAATACTGCTGTGTTTGTGTGAGATCTGAAACTTCAAAACTCATTTTTGTTTTCAATATACAAAAATATCAAACTAAATTTCTTTTCATGCTTTCATTTCTTAAATTAATTATTTATTTATTCATTTAAGTTCAAGTTAGTTAACATACAGTATAGTATTGGTTTCAGGAGTAGAATTTAGTGATTCATCACTTACATATAACACCCAGTGGTTATCCCAACAAGTGGCCTCCTTAATGCCCATCACCTATTTAGCCCATTACCCCAACCACCTCCCCTCCAGCAACCCTCAGTTTGTTCTCTGTACTTAAGAGTCTCTTGGGACACCTGGGTGGCTCAGTCAGTTAAGCATCTGACTCTTGATTTTGGCTCAGGTCATGAACTCACAGTTCATGAGTTCAAGTCCCATGTCAGGTTCTGAACTGAAAGCTCAGATCCCGCTTGGTTTCTGTCTCCCTGTCTGACCCTCCTCCCACATGTGCTCTCTTGCTCTCTCTCTAAAAATAAACAAACACTTAAAAACAAATAGTCTTTTATGGTTTGCCTCCCTCGGTGTTTATCTTATTTTTTCTTCCCTTCCCCTATATACATCTGTTTTGTTTCTTAAATTCCACACACAAGTGAAATCACAGGATATTTATTTTTCTCTGATTTATTTCACTTAGCATAATACCCTTTAGTTCCATCCATATTGTTGCAAATGGCAAGATTTCATTCTTTTTCATCGCCGAGTAATATTCCATTGTATATATACATACCACATCTTCTTTATCCGTTCATCAGTCAATGGACATTTGGGCTCTTTCCATACTGTGGCTATTGTCAATAGTGCAGCTATA